GAAAAAAGAACAAAAATGTAGAAAATGAAAAACGGGTTGGTTTACAGACAGAAAACACTAGTTATTATGTTTTTCCCAAAAAGTACACGGAAAGAAAGAGAACGTCATATTTTTCCGGCCAAGGCGTCACTTTTCCCATGATGGAAGAAATGAAAGTTTGTTGAAAAAACGAGTTAAACGTATCTCCGTCAAATGTACAGAGATAGAAATAACGGTCTGACCGCAGAGAAAAAAAACCACTTATTTCGTTAATATGGAAGTAGTGGAGGTAGCGGTGAAAACAATATATGTATGTAAAATTAGTCGAAATTGGGTAGAAAAAAGGGAAGAAAAGATTGATTGGAAGAAATAAGAAAAAGACAGTTGTGAAATTGAGGTTGTCGCAATGCAAGAAATTCATTTGCAAGGTCACCAGATACTTTTTCCACAGTTCCACGGGCCCTTAGAAAGTGGTCCACATTAATAAGTGGGTTTTGTTTATCCCTCCCGTTAGAAAATTGGATTGATGCACTGTTATTCGGAGGAAAACGACAAGAAAAAACCCAAAAATCTAATTTGTTTATTTCCCGGAAATTAGTTTAGCGACAGGACGAGATTAGCGATAATGTTTAGTGGTGATAGTGGTGATAATGAGACAAATTGAAACTGACAACACATTTCATGGGAGAGGAAGAGAATGCAACAAGCAGCTAGAAAACTTTTTCGGGGTTTTTGTCTCGAGATTTATTCTATTTTTGAGGTACTTCTGATATTATAAAATGAAACACTCCAACCAGAAGTTTTAACTAGAGTAAATTGTGCGGGAAAATTAAATAAAATTACATAAAATTCAATAAAATATAAAAAGAACCTCTAGAAAAAATCTCAAGAAAAAGATAAAAACTGAAAAGTTATTCATTTTCAAAAACTCTCTGAAAGGCTCTGAAAATCTTTTTGAAATTCCGCTAAAACTAAAAATTTCCACTTCTGAAATGTCGAAAATTTGTGAAGTTTGAAATTTCCCATTTTTTGGCATGAAAATCCCAAGAATTTTTTACAAGTTACCTTAAAATGGACAAATTCTGGGATATTTTACTAAAACAACTTTTCCAACAGTGTTCTCCTTCAAAAAAACACCGAAAGCTTATTTTCAGCTAAATTCTGCGAAAAGGTGAAAGTTAAATTTAAAAAAAAAAAACAAACTAGGCTAATCCTCAATGTTTCCAACCCATTTAGTGCAGTCTGACGCACAAAACCCCATTTATTAAACATTCATAAAAGAGTGAGGAACACAATACAAAAATGCGGAAGCATTCCGCCCTACGTTTTGTATACAAAATCAAAAAAACTAATAAACAAAACAAAATGAGGGAAAAAGACTGAAAGATTTTGTTAATAAATGAATTAAAATGCAACACGTCGAAAATCAATAATCGGAGCGTGTGGGGCCGAGGAATGGTCGAGGATGTGCGCGAGAGGGATGAGTGTGCGGGAGAGGAGGATGTGCGGGAAGGTAAGAAGGGCGAGTAGTGCTGAGGCGAAAAGAAGGAGAAAGGGGTTTAGGTTCAGGATGAGAAACGATGGATGATGGCCTCCTCTCATTGTTGTTATTTAGTAGAGAAAGGGAGATGACCTTCGCGAGGAGTCTCTGGCGGATGACAGAGAGAGAGGGACGCCTCTAGTTCTAACTGGTATCCGATTCGCCGCGTCCACACCCATTTTCCGCGCGTCAGACCACTTGTAGTCTCTCTTTCTCTCCTTAGCGAGACACCCTAATCATGATCAGCAGATTTTGGTCTGTGTATGTATTCGTCAATTGTGTCCTGATAGGGCAGCTCTATTAACGGGACACTGCAGGTATATTGTGTAACAAAACTGGATTGTGATCAGTCCCAAGAACAAAAAATAATGAAAATGGACTATTGAAAAAGTCTTTTTTGATTGCACCTAATTGTGTGGATTGAATGGGAAACTTGGACAAGTGGGTGTTGACATTGATGACAAGATTTATGGGTTAGATTCATTTCCTTATCTGTCTGATGAAATATTTTTATATGCAATGAGGAGATAAACATAATTTATGGATAAATGACATAAATGAGGAAATTCTAAAAAAATCGAATAAGAACTGTATACAACGTTGGAAAGGGTGATGAAGGAGTTTTTGCAAGAAACTTTGTCAGAGCAAATTACTGTAAAATTTGAAGACTGTAGAAATGAAGGAGAACAAGAAAAAGTATTTCTATAATTTTACAGTGAACTCAGTCATTTTGGTTTCTATAAAAGATGTTTGAAAAACTAAATTTTTGAAGATGTCCGCTGTGATACAATGAATACCCAAGCCTTTCAGTTTAAACTTAATTATCTCGCTTTTTGTGAAAGGTATCAAAAATTTGTCAACTGATAAAAGATTGGCGATGATTTGACAAAAAATATATTTGTGAACAATTTGTTACTATCTTTCACAGCAATCGAGATAATTAAGGTCAAAGTTTACGGACTGGGCTGACTTCAGTTACAGGAAATACGGTAGTTTGGTAGTTCTCAGATTTTGTGCCATCTCTTAAAAGATTCAAATTATTTGAACTTGTAAATTATATATAGTGTTGTCGTTTAATTAGGAGGATAATTGTGGTTTCCTGTTAGAAAGAGAAATAATTAAATCGAAATTCAAAAAAAGGCCAATTTTCCTTGATACCGAATTTTTTAAAAAGCTTCACCAGGTTACTTGAAAAATACAAAGTTTTTAATTCAAAAGACTCTCAAATAAAAAAAACCATTCAATTCTAAAATGATACTAAAATTCTATTGTTTTCCATATTTTAAATTTTAAAGGAAACCTGTCAAAATCTTGAACTCGAGAAAACCAAAAAATGGTACAGTAAGCCGTTTGGAAAAATGTCTAAACAGTCAAAAATTAAATAAAAAGTCGGGAGTTGTTAGAAAAGGATGAGAGAGCGAGAGTGACGGGAAAAAGTTCTAAACAAAACCCAACTAGACCTGAAATAAAAGCAAACAATGGATAATAAGAAAAATTAGGCTGGGTGCCTGACTACCGGGCGCTCTCCGGGGGGGGGGGGGGGGTAAATGACAGCTTTGATCGGTCAACAAAATTTTCCGAAATCTGTCCTCATGTTCCGGCATAAACACAGAAGGCACACGACACCCGTTATATTTTGATATCGGATAAGAGGGAGAAAGAGCAAAAGACTGACTATGCGGGACGAGAAATAACAAAAGAAATAATGCTGGAGAAAATTTCGAAAAGAACGGTTGGTTTGATCATGGGCGTGTGTGAGTAAAGGCTCTTATAACGCGGAGTGCCGCGAGGAATTCCAATAAAGGAATGAACATACATTTTAATTAAAATTCAAAAATTATACAACACCTCAGCTTTGCATACTATTATTCATACATTGTAGTGTTTGAGGTTGACAGTATGTCAAAAGTAACAACATTTTTACAATTCAACGACTTTTGTGTGTAATTTGATTCGATTGCTAATGTGTTCCAACCCGTGGGGGTGGAAGAAGATCAAATAACTTTGAATCAGATCGAATTATCGACCAATGAGCACAAATAATAAACAACCGAAAGATTTTGAAAGTTCTCATTTTCAACGTGACAGTTTTGCAGTATATACAATCGTAATATAAAACACAACGTATTAAACCTTATCAGTTATTGAATGTTTCTATAAGCAGGTGTTAGTTGGAAAAGTGCAAAATTTGTTGTGGTGAAAAAAATTCAAAAAGATGAAACATTTTTTCGAATGAAAAAAAGTGAAACAGGATAAAAGGACAAAATGTGTTTCTTCCGGTAGAAAAAGGGCAGAAACATCTCACGTGTGACGTCACAAACGTACCAATTTCTTATGTCATTGGATCGAGAGGAACGCGGCAAAAGTGGTTTGTCGAGTGGGCTTTAGAGGGGGACGCCCAGTCAAGACAATGAGCAGACGAGCAAGAAAAAAACGGCTGCTAGGAAGCACCAAAGAAAAAAAATAAGCTGGCAAGGTATTGTGTATCTTGGCAAAGGCCGAAACAACGACGACTAAGACAAAAGCTGTCAGTTGGAATTTCTCGTAGTGGCGGTAGCCCGCCGGTGCGCGCTGCTGCGCGACTTTTCCACCAGGAACAGTTCGGAGAGGGTGCAGATCAGCAGAGAGAGAGAGAGAAAGAGCCATAGCCTGATCATTTGGTGTGTTGTGTGTGTGTGTGTGTATGTGTGTGTTCAGAGCAAATATGGTTCCCGGCGATGCGCCACGAAGCAACTCGGGAATTCGAAGGGTGGCGGCACGAGAAGAAAGGTTGGAATGGAAGAAGATATGTATTCTAATTTCACACCCGTCGGAAATATACCACGTTTTTAGTTTACTTTTAAAACTTTTAATTGAAGTTTCCCATTGGCCTTCGGGACTTGGAAATTTGAATATAAAAACCTTTGAATGATTGCAGAGTGGCACATAATTTCCCGCACCTTTACTAACATTCTCAAAACGTTTCCACAAGTTTTGTATTTATTCGTGATTGCCCGAAGATAAACGGCGAAATGTTTCTTGCCCGCTGCTGTTTCCTCATTTGTATTGATGTAACTTCATACTAGGTTATACGATTTGACTGAAATTTTGTCCAAAGTAAGACACACATAAGTGTTTCGTACAAAATTACTCGTTGGTTGGATGCATCTGTCTAGAGATATCAATCTAATATTCGCTGTGATTTTAGGCTCAATTTTTTATTGGTCTAAAAATTTCCGATTGTTCATTAAACATTGACATTTCAGTCGTAATTAACGACTTTTTAGAGCGAGTCTAACAAAGAAAATTTTGTAGTAACCCAACTATTATTTTTGTGCTAATTTTGACGTTGTTTTGCAAATTTGTTTGTTACTAACGACACATCTTATCACAATGAAACCTGAAAAAGTGCCACATGGTTGCGTTTTGTGCAATTCGAATTTTTCAAAACGTCCTGTATTTTAACTTCAGGTTTTACATACCCGCGTTCAAATTTTGGTTTTCAGAAATGCGTGATTTGAAAAGGTTTGAAATGAAATAGTTTATTGTTTCCGAAAATCCTCACATCATCTCTTGTGGCAGTAATTTCCGTTATTTGCACTGAAAACACGTAATTAGTTCTGATTGAATTGTAACCTACTGACTCTGCGAACATTATATGACGTTGGATTGGTTTGATGACGTCATTCAGTTCTGCAGCAGTCTTCGCAAGAAAAGTGCATGGAGTTCCTCCAGAAACGGCGTTCAACTTATTGTGATCGATATCCTTACCGACACCGACAGTGATTATTCCGTACTGTTTTTGTTTGATGATCGATTGTGCAGTTGCCACAGGGTCAGCGTTGAATCTTCACAAAATGAGTTTTTACTCAAGTTTTCATCTTGACTACTTACGAAGTGGTGCTTGTAATGTAAATCAAAAGATGATTGTGGATGCCAGTACGATATCCTGCTGTTGGGGCCATATAATCAGCTGAACTGACTACCTGAAGATTGTATTTGAGGATTTGTCCTGTGTGATCAAAATCGGCATAGTTGTCTTTAAGAAGGCTCAAAAGAGAAATCAAATTCGCTTAAGCAGGAATATAGTTCAAATTAGCAGCTGGTGGCGGTTGGTCATCAAGATCTGCAGCAACGACGATGATTCCGATGCGAGCGCCACTCATGCTAACATTGTATGGAGCCATGAGATCACCAACAAAGTTGGTGAACTGAAAACCTTCGATAAGACTGATTGAATCAGAACAAAACCATACATTGTCAAATACCGGTCTGGCAGTCTGAGATCCATCAATCAAGAAGACAACATCGAACTGGAGACTTTTTTCATGGTCAGCTGCCAAGCAGCCCAAGGCAAAGAGAGCTAGCAGAATGACGATCCGCATTGGAAACTGAAAAATTATAGGTTGTTTTCAAAAAAGCGTATGAGTAATCTGATTACACTCAAAGACAGTGTCAAGTTATTAAAAGGGAGTTGAAATAATAAGCAATGCCAACGAGAGTAACGACAAACAAGAAAAATTAATCATGATAAGAATATTTCTTAACAACTCACAAGTCAGCTCTGTGAATTTCTTCTCAATTTCGAAATTTTATTAGATCAGCAATGAAGCGGAACTGATTATAAAACTGTCACACCCAAACTCAGGAATATGTTTGTTGAATATAGGTTTCAAAATATTTGGTTGTTGTAGCGGGAAGGGGGAAAATTATAGTGATTTTTTGAAATAATCTTCATGGAATTTCGAGAATTTTGCATGTAAAAATAGGAGTAACATAAATTAACTATGTGCTCAAAAACTGTGCAATAGATTACAAAATTATATAAATGAACCGCCATTATTTCACAAAAGCTGTTCGTGTGTGTCGGTCGGGTGGATGCGAGATGCCGTCAGTTCTGATTTAGCCGTATGAATTGTCAGCAGAAAGTCCGGTATCTTCTGTTTAAGGACATCTAGTACTTTTATATCGGCCCATTGAACAAATGACTTGTTACGATCGTACAAGCCAGTATTTCTGTTTTCACTCCATCAGCTTGATAGACAAGACTACTGAGTTCATTGCCCTGGTGTTATCTAGAATGCTGATTACGATTATGTTTTAAAATTTTTAAATGGTCGTTGTTTTAGAAAGTTATGACCAGTTACTTTATTTTTTGTTGGAACCACGATAATTAAAAATATTTATTCAGGAAAAAAAATAATCACTTCCAGGAAATTGTTCAATTGCTCTTGCAGTACATTCCTCCGTTGGTTCTGAAACACAATAAGTTAAACATTTTTGAATTGTTTTATAAGTTCTTACCCAGCGGTCGCGATAAGTTGTTGAATAGGCTTGATTTGGTTGTTCAAGCTAGCAACATCATTAGCTGTGAACGAGCATGCGGCTCCACCAGAAATAGTCAGAAGTTTTCCGGCGTCAACGGTTGGTCCGTATCCAATAGTGATGATTCCGTATTGCTTTTGAGCGATAATGGTTTGAGCAGATGGAGTTGGGTCGGTGTAGAATCTGAAAACTCAATGATAATAAATAATTTTGAACTAGAACCCTTACGAAGTGGTTGTTGTGATGTAGACCAGAAGATGATTGTTGATGTTAGTACGGTATCCAGCAGTTGGGCTCATGTATTCAGCTGAGCTGACTACCTGGAGGTTGTAAGTAAGAACTTGTCCGGCGTGGTCGAAATCTGCGTAGTTGTCCCTGAGAAGTCCCAAGTTGGAGATCAAACTGGCTTGAGAAGTGATAGAGTTCAAATTAGCGGCTGGCGGTGCTTGGTCCTCAATGTCTGGAGCAACGACGACAAGTCCAACATGAGCTCCACTTATTCCAACGTCATAGTTGATCATGAAGGTTTGAATGAACTTGGTGAACTGAAGAACAATATAATTCAGAAAATGGTATTAATGCAGTGGCCTTACGGTATCGAAACTAGTTTGCGCGGATTGAGATCCATCGATCATGAAAACAATATCAAATTGTTGTCCTGGAGCTGTTGATGGAGATGGGCTCTGAAAAATGTTTTGTTCCCAGCCGCGTTTCTCCGGGTTTTCTTACAGCTGGTGGAGCTTGGGTTTGTGTGGTCATTGGTGGCTGTTGCGTTGGCTGGGTATTTGGTCCTTGGGTAACAGGTCCAATAGTTCCAGTAACAGGTTGTCCGGTGGTTGGGTTGCGGCCTTAAATTGTATATTTTTAAGGAGGCCAGACACCAAAAAAAAGTTTTTCTGATAATTTGCATAGAGAACCCCCATAAGGGGTTGAACTCATGACAGGCAGCTCAGGGGTACAACCCCGCTACCGGCTGAGCTACGGGGGCGCGAAGGCGCCTGACGACCGATGGTATACATAAGCGCGGCGCGATTTCGTCCCCCGAACTGTCCCCCGAAATTTTTGCTGTCTCGCCTCCTTTAAGAAAGGGAAAAAAAGAAATATTTCGAACCATTGCAAATTACAACTTGTTGTCTTCTAAACTTCTGATTGTTTTCATCAACTCCGTGAACGAAGATAATAACCATATCACCATTGCAAGTGAACAAGTCAGAATAGTACTCGTAAGAGCATCTGTCTCTTCTGTATAGTTCAGAGCGGAGAATGTTCTGAAACAAGTTCCTATAACCTAATGTAGATTTTCGTGGACTTACGGTGGCACCTCCATTTGAATCAATATCGAAGATCTCGGCGTATTGCAGTTGTCCATTACTGAACGAGTTTCCGTACAAATGGAAAGTAGCAACATTTTCAAATCCAGCAACTGGTTGGATGTTTCTTCCGTCTTGATGGGCACCCAGTGGATCAGTGTTCACTCCAACTGGCATTGGAAGTGAGAACTTGGTGTAGATCTTGGCACCTCCTGTGGTGTAGACATGAGCCAAGCATAAGCCTGGTGGATTGACAAGTTGAAGAGACCAGATTCCTCCAAGACCATCAACTTCGATCTTATACATTTTTTGTTCTCCAGCATTGTAGGCTGGGGCAAGGTTGTGAACAACTGAAATAAATTATACTGTTGTTTTTCTTAATTTTCTTCAAAAACAAAGTCCATGAACTTACGTCCAAGTGGGTCCTTGACGGACAGAGATCCAAATTCAGAAGCAGTGGTAACATAGATAAATGTGGCGTTGGAATCAATTGGAACGAACCATGGGGTGGAACCATCGGAACAGGTGTAGTTGGCAGCTCCAGTTGGGTCTTGAAGGACTGAAGCTCCGTAGAGAGATGGAAGGTAGTTGTTGAGGAGCTGGAAATATGACATGATTGACATACGCACCAGATCAATTTTTTCTTACAGTAACAAGGTTGGCCACATCAGTGAAAAGAATATTTCCACTTGATCCGTATCCTAGCCAAGTCATATCCTGGACATTGTTGACACCATCGAATGTTGGGCAGTTGGCAGTCTTGGACAGAACGTAGTGCAACTGAAAAACCATAATTATTCTTAATTCTCACTAACAGTTTCTTACATGTGCTTCGGTATTGAAAAGTGTGTTCATTGTCTCTAAATACTTGTTCATGTCGGATGGTCCAGCAGCGGTGACCAAGAAGATTTCGCTGTTTGGCGTGGCAATCACATCATCGTGCTCCAAGAGATGCGCAAGAACTCTGAAAACGCTGTTGTAAATTAAAACTGACTACTGTATATCCTACCCAAGATATGGCAAGCTGCATGCACCATCGGTGGAAATGGCGTTGGATTGAACGGTGAGATCAGTGATGAGGTCATCGATGGTAGTGTAGTTGTACTTCTCAAATGTTCTTCCGGTGTCTAGAATTGCATGGTTGAAGATGAAAACAACAAGAATTCGACTTACTATCGAAAGTGACAAGACCGAAGTATTTGAACCAGATTGGAGCGAATGCGGTGGCCGAGGTCACAATATTCTTAAGGTTGGCAATCAATTGGTTCACAGTAGCCGAGTTCTGTCTGGTGGTTTCTACAACCATCAACAAAGTCTTTCCGTCATCGCTGAACAGTTGTGGGATGAGTGGTTGGCAAATTTCAAATTGACAGTTCAATCCGTTGTATCCGGTTGGACAGCTGCAAGATCTTTCGTCCTCGTTTCTAGTTCCACCGTTGACACAAATTGGTACGGTACATTGAGATCCTGTCCAGTAATCTGTGCAGATACACTGTCCATTCTGTCTGATTCCTCCGTTGCCACAGGCGATTTGAGCTGGTGAGCAGTGTCCCCATGTCATACGTTGGAATGCATTTCCGAACTCATCTTCTCCGACGTGAAGTACCCCAAACTCGTTATTAGCGTTGTCACTGTTGGGACATGGGAAGTCTTGGGAGACCCATCCGTATTCGCAACCGAATCTGGCTTGGTATTTCAGTCCATTGTAGAACGTTCCATTTCCTGCATCCCAAAGAATAGCATCGGTAAGAATTGGAACACGGTTTTCGTTGTCAGCAGAGTGAACATAACTGATAAGTCTGTTTCCAGAAAAGTCTTGGATTGGGTCGATTTGCGGATGATCATCACTTATCTTCTGGGTGAATCCTGTGGTGATTTGCAAACTAGACTGAACACGAACAGCCAAGGTACAGTAGTTTGGAAGTGTTCCAGTGGCTGGGTTACTCTTGATGTTAACGTACCAGTTACCAGCTGGAAGGTCAGCGTCCCCAATGGTATTCGGTCTGTGGTCAGCGTCATATCTATGCTTCTGGCAAACAAATGGTCTAGGAGTGGAGCAAGAGTCGGTGACCCAAGACTTCTTATTATTAGCACTTCTTCCGTTGTAGAACACGCATTGTCTGGTTAGATCATTGCTTGGCTCATTATCTGCCCAATAGGTGTTTGGCTGGTTGAGTTGAACTGGATCGATTCCTTGTCCTCGATCCCAGACAAACTGGTTAGTGTTGTCTCTAAAGAGACCAATCCAGAATTGAGTGCTAGCAGCAGCCAAGCTAAGGAAATTGTTCTTATCATCTCCAAGATCATCAGCGAGATATCCACCAGCAGTTGCACAGAAGTTTCTGGCTTGTGGCATGGTCATGATGTCATCAGTCTTCGACATGAACTTGATACAGTATTGACCGAATGGTTCCCATCCAGAATCACAACTTTTTCTAACTTCGTAGACACTTTGACCGGTGAAAGAATCATAGAACAGTTCGAGAGCTTCCGCCAAAACTCCGTTTCCATTATACACTTGAATAGTGGTGCCGTATCCAAAAACAGTAAGTTGAATGGTTTGAGTGTAAGCGTCAACTGGGAAGAATGTGGTCATTCCGTTGTCGTGTCTACAGTCGTCAAGCTCATTCCAGGTGACAAGTCCATTTGAGAATTGAAGTGGAATCAATCTGATAGCGTTCGAAATTTCAGCAGCTTGAAGAACGTATGTTGTTCCAGTGGATCCAGTTACAATTCCGAAAAGAACATAGTAATCAGTCAGGTTCGCATTGCAGACAAATCCAGATGGTAGCGATTGTGGTCTGGCACTCAGGAATCCGTAGATAACCAAATCCATAGCACGAGACATGTCATACCAGATTCCAAGAGAGCGTTGGTCTTTTTCATCTTCCGGTGTAGTTTGGAAGATTTCAATGTATGATCCCGCAGCAATTTCTCCCGCAAAGACGGCATGATCAAGGGCATCCCAAAGTTTCACTCTGCATCCGGTATCCGATGGAACATTGGAAGCAAGATTATTAAGAGCAGTAGTGATCGCGGTGAGATTGTTAGCTGGTGATTGAGCGATTGGTCCTCCCCAGGTGGAATTGAAACCAACAAGGACAAAGCTTCTGATCCATCTGCTATCTTGCATCTGGACATCACGAAGAATCTCTTGGAAGTTGGAGTTCAGCATAACGAGAGAAGCAAGAGAGTTTTGAGTGACTTCAACGGCAAAGACCATATCTACTTCATAGCGAATGTACTCTGGGTTTGGTCCGGTCTCGAGACACCTAGCCATTTCACAACTGGTTCCGGCATAAGCTGGTGGGCAGACACAGTGATCTCCAGCTGCAGTACCTCCGTTGTAGCAGACAACGTTCTGGCAGTATGTTCCAGTGAATTCTGGAGTACAGAAGCAAGTGGTGTTCAATGGATTCATGACTCCTCCATTCTGGCATTGATGATCTGGTGGTGGAGTTGGATGGACTTGAGCGCAGTACATGGTTCCAGCACGTTGAAGGGTCATGTCATTTCTATCACGGGCGAAGAAGTTAAAGTAGAGAACCTCATCTGGGACACGGCATGTGAATGGAGGGAAGTAGAAATTGAACTCGCAAGCGTCTCTCCACATTCCACTGGATCCGTAGACTTCAGTTTGGACTCCATCTCGGATAGCGTAGATTTGAAGATTGGCGTGGACACGATCCATGGAAATGAACTCTGGGTAGTTGGAGACATGGAAGACTGGAGAGGCGTCAAATCCAAGAACTGGCTGACGAAGAACTCCGGCAGCAGAGGTAAGAGTAGTGGCGAAGGACCAGAAGATGTCGTAGTCTGGGGCATACTGGTTGACTCCTCCAAAGTTGAACTTCTTTTGGTAGACCTTGAAAGTGCAAGCAGAGTTTGGAGAGTTTGAAACCACGTTAAAGAACCATTGCCCAGTAACTTGCTGGTTGTAAGTCCAGATGTAGTTCACTCCGTCAGTATAAGCTACAGTGAATTCTGGTCTATCTCTATACGGGTTAGTGACTTGAAGAGTCAAGTTGGTTCCAGTAGCCACAACAACAACCATATCAGTACTCAAATCAATAGAGGCAGACTTGTAGACGTTCTGGTTGGTACAGTGCGAGTAGTCTCCAGAGAGGATCAGTTGTGAACGGAAGAGAGTGTTCTCCATGTGTTGGAGGAAGAACTAAAGTTGAAAATGGTCTTTTTTGTATATCATAAAACTTACTTTAGAGATGACAGTTCTGTCACTGAAGTAGAATGTGTTACCACCAGTGCGAGCAGCCATATCAACCATATCTCTGTATCCACTGTTATCTGGGGACGAGTTGCATGCTTCGGCAACTGTTGGTTGAACGTAGATAAAGTAGATCTAAAATTTCGCAAAAATTCTAAATCTAATGATCAAGTCAGTAGTACCGGTGCTCTCCAATAGGATTCCAAATGGAAGACTGTTTCTTTTTCAGCGCTGTCGTTTGGATTGGCGTCGGTGATAACGTAGATCGGGGACTTATTAGTTGGATATAAAGAGAGAGCAGCGCTAGAAAAATTATTTTTTCGTTGTTGGACTCTATATTACTTTATTACGCTATCGAAGAGAAAACAACATCGTCACATCCACCATCTGATGGCGCCGAGTTGATTGCTTTGGTGAGATCAACCATAGCAGCATCCCATGAGTCATATCGTTGGTTGACCAGAAGTCCTGAAACGCAATCCTCTTAACTGTGTACTCTCACTGATAAGAAAAATCAAACTTTCGAAGTGTAACCGGATAATAAATAAGTGATGAGAGTGATGTAAAACTTACTGCCGTTATCAAACAAGACAACGATGAAGTTTGTGAGATAACCGGGTTCCGAGACCAGCAAGTCAACCATGCTTTGGACGGATTGAGTGGCTCCATCAATGACTGCAGAGAGCTCAGTTCTGGAACGGATGACAAGAGTGAGGGTTGGGTTCTCAGCGTTGAAGTCAAATCCAGAAGTGTCAGAGCAGACAACTGAAAAATTTAAATTAAAAGTCTTTTAACATTTCTAAAAAATCACTATTCTGGCAATGGAATCCGGTGAATCCTTCCGGACACTGGCAATGGTCGGATGTGGGTGTTGGCAAGTATCCTCCATTTGCGCAGAGCATAGTTGAACAATCGCTTCCGGTGTAGAGTCCGAAGCAGTAGCAGTATGGAGATCCGCTGGCATCCTTGAGAAGTTGTCCACCGTTCTTGCACGAAGTGAGTGGTGCCATGGTTGTGGTTGGAGCTGGGGCAACGGTAGTAGAGACTGGTGGCACTGAAAATTATTTTTGTAATCTGAATAATAGGAAAACAATTTTTACAGATGCACTGGTAGGAAAGGATACGACGGAACAAGTATCCAGAATTGGTCATTCCTTCGACTTGCATAAAGTTGTGTCCCATATCATTGTTGCTAGTTCTTCTGCAAGTGTACCTCTCCAAAATGTATGGGTAGGTGCAGTTGTAACGGGTAGCAATTGGAATGTATCGAGAGATGTGGCTCTCTGCACCAGTGAACCCGATTGCTTGAATCTGACCAGGGAAGTCAAGCCCTTGAGCATGAAGACCAACAACCGCTTCAGTATCAAAATAGGTATACTTCAACAATGGGAAGTCATTACGCTCCGCTTGATCTCCGGATGTGAATCCTCCAGAAAGTTGGATTGGAGTGCGAGCAGTCATCATCATCATACAGTACTCGTCTCCAGTGTCAGCTCTTGGGCCAAGCAAGTACTGTCCTGGTAGAAGCATTCCGTAAGTGGCTGTGTATGTCGTTGGGCGTTGACTATCAGAATCTGGAGAGATCAAATCTCCATTCTCGGCTTGAAGGAAGAAAGTTGGGTTTAATGGAGATTCAGTTTCAAGTTGGATTTTGATATTCCACATTGTTTCGTCAACAACAATGACATAAGGGGTACTGCAGTTGGCAAGATTCGTGGCGTCAATCGAGATGTCATCAGATGCCTGGTTGTTAGGAACTACTGGATTGCGGACTCCGCAAAGTGCTGAAATCAATTAATGACTTCCGTCGTACTACTTGGGACACTAACGATATTGGCACGTCTCTCCAGTGTAACCTGGCTTGTTACATCCTCTTGTGGCCATTCCAGCAAACACATGGGGCTCCGCAACTGATCGTTTTGAGATATGATGAGTATCCAACTGTTCTTTTCTGTTTTTTAAGATCTCTGACAATTTTTGACTTACGAATATATCCGAGTTTTCTACTGCTCTAAACTTTTGCTCTGCAATCGGCTCAAAAAATGTCTTCTCATCTTTCATATCCCATGTCTTCAACACAGCTCGGATCCTATCCTGGTGACTAATCTCCTGCTCTGCTAGGCAGATCACGGCCAGTGCCGCAATCAACACCCAGGTTCGCATTCCTAGAAAATGTTATAATAAATTGTAAATAATAAATTTTAGGACTGAAATTTGGTTATAAATGAAACAGGAAAACGCGGGGCGCACACGCCTAATGTAATTATCATTAAGACTGATTTAAACCTATTTCAAAGTCATCAATCAAGAGGTGTGACCGAGGCAAAAAGAGGCGAAACGTCATCGGTGCCGTGGCAAAACTCTTATCTCCGAGTGCCAGCGCATACAGTGTGTTTTCAATCACAGTCGGTGGAGAAGGTTGCCAAAAAGTGCATTAGAAATGCCGCGCTTTTTATCATATAAGATCTTTTTAATTGCCTCTTTGAGACCGTTTTCGTATTCTGATGGGCTATTGTAGCTAGGTCCGTGCAAAAAATTGTGATTTGTGTTTGTCTTGATGGTAATAAATTCATGAATTCATTAAAGCAATTAAAGTCTTTATTCAATGAAAAAACACTTATTCCATTCAGTTGTTTGTGCAGTACACTCCTCCATTGGTGCTGAAATTGTGAAAAAAGTTAGAATTTCACTTTCTCAATAAATTGTCTTACTTGGCATTGATGATCAATTGTTGGATCGTTCTGATCTGGTTGTTCAATCCAGCGAAATCGTTAGCAGTGAATGAGCAAGCAGCACCACCGGAGACAGCTTGCAGTTTGGTATTATCAACTGCATTTCCCATACCAACGGTGATGATACCGTATTGTTTCTGAGCAATGATGGATTTGGCTGTTGCTGTGGGGTCCACGTCAAATCTGAAAAAAAACAGGTGATTACTAAAAATTTGAATCAGAGCTTACCCAGTGGTAGCTGTGAGGTAGAAAAGAACATGATTACTGATGTCGCTACGGTATCCTGCATTCGTGGCCATATAATCAGTTGAACTGACGACTTGGAGGTTGGAGTTGAGGAGTTGTCCAGCGTGATCAAAATCTGCGTAGTTGTCTTTGAGAAGCGCCAAGTTAGAATTGAGATTAGCTTGAGAAGTAATGGAGTTTAGATTTGCAACTGGTGGTGGTTGGTCATCCAAATCCGGAGCAACAATTATGATTCCAACACGAGCTCGGTTCAAGCTAATATTGAAGGAAACCATGAAGGTTTGAATGAATTTCGTGAACTGGAAACAAAAATTTGAGTTTCCTAAACTATTTTAAAATATATACCGAGTCAAAGTAGCTCTGTGCAGCTTGAGAACCATCAATCATAAAGACAATGTCAAATTGGAGACTTGTCAATGGAGTTGCTGTCTATAAATCATTATTTTATGCAAAAGCCTCTTGATAGGAGGGAATTACCGTAGGAGTCGGCCCTCCAGTTGGTGTAGTTTGTGGTGATCCCTGTGTGACAGGAGTGCCCGGTCCTTGTGTGATTACTGAAACTGGTGGCTGCATGGTCGGTGGAGCACGTCCGTTGCAGACAACGACTTCTTGTCTTCTGAACTTCTGGTTGTTCTCGTCAACTCCGTGAACGAAGACCACAACCATATCACCATTGCAAGTGAACAAGTCGGAGTAGTATTCATAGGAGCAGTCGATACGTCTGTAGAGTTCGGATCGGAGAATGTTCTGAAAAAAATTAATTGCCAATTAGAACTTTACACTTTTTTCTGAAACTCACAGTAACACTGTTCTGTCCAATATCAAAGATCTCAACATATTGAAGTTGTCCGTTGTGGAATGGATCACCGGCAATGTGGAAGACAGCGACGTTGTTCATTCCGGCGACTGGTTGAACCATGATACCGTCTTGATGAGCTCCAAGTGGGTCGGCATTTCCTCCAGATGGACTTGGAAGAGCGAACTTGGTATAGACCTTTGCACCACCAACAGAGTAGACATGAGCCAAGCATAATCCTGGGCTCACAACTTGAAGAGTCCAGATTCCTCCAAGTCTATCAACTTCGATCTTGTAGAACTTTTGTTCTCCGACGCTGTAGGCTGGGGCGACGTTGTGATCGACTGAATTGAAAATTGGAAGGTTTTCTTGTCTAAATCATTAACATACGTCCAAGTGGGTCTTTGATGGATATGGATCCGAATTCAGAAGAAGTGGTGACGTAGATGTAAGTGGTGTTGATGTCAACTGGCACGAACCATAGAGAACCGTCGGAGCATGTGTAGTTGTAAGCACCAGTTGGATCTTGAAGGACTGAAGCTCCGTAGAGAGATGGAAGGTAGTTGCCGAGAAGCTGTAAAAATTTGATGCATTGAGCAACTTATAAAATGACTTACAGAAACAATGTTGTCAGAATCGGTGAAAATAATGTTACCGCTGGACCCGTATCCGAGCCAAGTCATATCCTGGACATTATTGACACCATCGAATGTTGGACAGTTTGCTGACTTGGAGACAATGTAATGGAGCTGAAAAAAAATATAAAGATTCCGGGAATTTTATTCTTTGAATTACATGAGCTTGGGTGTTGAACAAGTTCTCCATGGTTTCCACATAGGTTTGCAGATCAGATGGTCCGGCTGGGGTTACCAACAAAATTTCACTATTTGGCATTGCGATCACATCATCATGCTCCAAAAGATGCGCGACAACTCTGAAACAGGTGAATCGGAGTTGAAACTGGTTACTGTATTTTAAAATCATACCCAAGATATGGCATGCTGCATGCACCATCAGTGGAAATAGCGTTAGATTGAGTGGTGAGATCAGCGATGAGGTCATTGATGTTGGTGTAGTCGAACTTTTCGAACGTTCTTCCGGTGGCTGAAAATTTGGAAATAGACAAATCATTTTGTATAAAAACTTACTATCGAAGGTGACGAGGCCAAAGTTTGTGAACCAGAGTGGGGCGAACATTGTTGCTCCAGTGACAATATCTGATAAGTTGGCAATAAGCTGGTTGACAGTTGGGGCATTCTGTTTTGTGGTTTCAACAATCAACAGAAGAGATTTTCTATCATTGCTGAAAAGTTGTGGAACAGTTGGTTGACACTGCTCAAACTGGCAGTTTGGTCCAGTGTATCCACTTGGGCAGGAGCAAGAAGCCTCATCCGAGTTTCTGGTTCCTCCGTTAACGCAAATTGGTACAGTACAACGAGATCCGGTCCAATATTCATTGCAGACGCATTGTCCATTCTTTCTAATTCCTCCGTTTCCACAGGTGATTTCAGCACGAGAACAATGTCCATAGGTGAGACGTTGGAATGTGTTTCCAAATTCGTCTTCTCCGACGTGAAGTACTCCAAATTCGTTAGCTGGATCGTCTCCGTTCGGACATGAGAAGTCTTGTGAAACCCATCCATATTGGCAAGCGAATCTTCCTTGATACTTGAGTCCGTTGTAGAAGTTTCCAGTGTAGGCATCCCAAAGAATGGCGTCAGTGAGAATTGGAGCACGCTGTTGGTTGTCAACCGAGTGAATATATGTGATGAGTCTGTTGGCAGAAGAGTCTTGAATTGGATCTGGTTGCGGGTAGTCGCTTCCAATGCTGGTACTGTATCCAGTAAGAATTTGGAGACTAGACTGAACACGGACACTGAGCGAACAGTTTGGTGGTTTTCCATCGGCTGGGTTGGATTTGAGGTAAGCGTACCATTGTCCAGCTGGCAAGTCACCCTTTCCAATTTCATTTGGTGTGTATTTATCATCATATCGATGCTTTTGGCACACGAATGGTCTCGGAGTAGAGCAAGTGTCTGTTACCCAGACCTTATTACCGTCACTAGATCTTCCGTCGAAATAAACACATTGGTCTACAGGATCATTGCTCGGCTGATTGTCTGCCCAGTAAGTGACTGCTGGATTGAGTGGGTCCGGATTGTTACCCTGTCCGCGATCCCAGTAGAACTGCTGATCACTGTCCTTGAAAAGACCAATCCAGAACTGGGTTCTGGACGCAGCCATGTTCAAGAAACCGTTTTGGCCGTCGCTGGTATCGTCAGCAAGGTATCCTCCAGCGTTTGCACAGAACTTTCTAGCTTGTGGCATGGTCATGATATCGTCATTACCAATCACAAATTTGAGACAGTATTGACCGTAGTTGTCCCATCCTTCATCGCAAGCCTTTCTGACTTCATAGACACTTTGACCTGTGAAATCGTCATAGAAAAGTTCCAAAGCCTCAGCCATCACTCCTTGTCCGTTGAAAATTTGAATTGTTGTACCATAACCAAATGTATCAATTTGAATCGTCTGAGCGTAAGCATCCACTGGGAAGTAAGTGATAAGTCCGTTGTCATGCCTGCAGTCCATGTCATAGTTGAAAGTAACTTGTCCATTTGAGAATTGCAATGGAATGAGTCTGGCGGCGTTGTCGATCTCCGATGGTTGCATAATATAAGTGTCTCCCGTAGATCCACTGACAATTCCAAGAAGTGTGTAGTAGTTCTCCACCTTAGCGTTGCAAACAAATCCTTCTGGTGATAGTCGTGGGAAAGCGAACAAGAAACCGTAAAGTACAAGATCCATTCGGCGAGACATGTCATAGAAAAGACCAAGTTGTCTTGCGTCTGTATCGTCTTCTGGAGTGGTTTGGAAAATTTCAACGAAAGATCCTGGAGCCAATTCTCTCGCGAAAATAGCATGATTCAACGCGTCCCAAAGCTTGACGGTACATCCGGTATCAGCAGGTACACTACTGGCAATGTTGCTCAGAGCAGTGATGATACCTGAGACGTTTCCAGCAGGAGACTCAGCAATAGGTCCTCCCCAAGTAGAATTGAACCCGACGAGGACAAAGTTGCGAATCCATTCGCGTCTTTGCATCTGAACATCACGAAGAATTTCTTGGAAGCGTGTACTAAGTATGGCGATAGAAGCAATGGATTGTTGAGTTATTTCAATTGCGAAAACCATGTCGACTCCATAACGGACGAATTCGGGGTTTGGTCCAGTCTCGACACATCTGGCAAGTTCACAGCTTTCTCCGGCAAATCCTGGTGGGCAGACACAGTGATCTCCGGTTGGAGTTCCTCCGTTGTAGCAAACAATGTTCTGGCAATAGGTTCCAGTGAATTCTGGAGTGCAGAAGCAAGTGGTGTTCGATGGATTCATGACTCCTCCATTTTGACATTGATGATCTGGTGGTGGAGTTGGATGAACATAAGCGCAGTACATAGTTCCAGCACGTTGGAGAGCCATGTCATTGTTATCACGGGCAAAGAAGTTGAAGTAGAGAACCTCATCTGGGACACGGCATGTGAATGGAGGGAAGTAGAAATTGAACTCGCAAGCGTCTCTCCACATTCCACTCGATCCGTAGACTTCAGTTTGGACTCCATCTCGGATAGCGTAGATTTGAAGATTGGCGTGGACACGGTCCATTGAAATGAATGCTGGGTAGCTGGAGACATGGAAGACTGGAGAGGCGTCAAATCCAAGAACTGGCTGACGAAGAACTCCGGCAGCAGAGGTAAGAGTAGTGGCGAAGGACCAGAAGATGTCGTAGTCTGGGCTGTATTGACTGGTTCCTCCGAAGTTGAACTTCTTCTGGTAGACCTTGAATGTACAAGCGGAGTTTGGTGAGCTAGATCTGATAGTGAAAAACCAATTTCCAGCAACAAGTCTGTTGTATTTCCAAATGTAATTGACCCCATCAGTGTAAGCAACATCAAAATCTGGATACGTTTGCAATGGACTGGTTGCAGTTAATTGCAAATCTGTTCCAGTGGCCACAACAACCACCTCATCAGCAGTCAAGTCGACGGAAGCGGTTTTGTAGAGATTCTGATTGCCACAGTGCGAGTAGTCTCCAGAGAGAATCATTTGTGAACGGTAGAGAGTGTAAAGCATGTGTTGATAGAGGAACTGAAAATAACAGTTCTATATATCTATTCAAATTCCGAACAAGTGACTCACTGTAGATACAGCGGTTTGGTTTTCGAAATAGAATGTGTTACCACTAGTGCGAGCAGCCATATCAACCATATCTCTGTATGCAGAGTTGTCTGGAGACGTGTTGCATCCATCAGCTGGTCCTGGTTTGACGTAGATAAAATAGATCTGGGAAAAAAAATATTTGTAAGAATTTATAATTTTTACGACTAACCGGAGCTCTCCAGTAAGATTCCAAATGGAAGACTGTTTCCTTTTCAGCGCTGTCGTTTGGATTGGCGTCGGTGATAACATAGATCGGAGACTTGTTGGTTGGATATTGAGAGAGGGCAGCACTAAAAGAAATATATTTAGATCGCTCAGATTTTGTCTAACAACTTACGCAACAGATGAGAATACAACATCATCGCATCCACCATCAGTTGGAGCCGAGTGAATTGCTTTAGTAAGATCAACCATGGCTTTATCCCATGAGTCATATCTCTCGCTGAGAAGGAGTTCTGTAAAAATTGAATTGTGATATCATTCAACGCAACTGTGATAAGGAAATCATAAGTGTCAATGTTTGCGTTTCTACTAACTTCCGTTATCGAAAAGAACGACGATGTAATTGGTGAGGTAACCAGGTTCGGAGGCCAATAGGTCCACAATCTCTTTAACAGAGTTGGTGGCTTGCTCAATGACAGCTGAGAGTTGAGTTCTGGAACGGATGACAAGGGTGAGCGTCGGATTTTCGGCGTTGAAATCGAATCCAGAAGTTTCGGTACAGACGACTGCAATTTTTGAGTTACAAGCTTTTCTCTTAATGGTTTGATCTTACTGTTTTGGCAGTGGAATCCAGTGAATCCCTCGGTACAAACACAACGATCGCTGTCTGGAGTTGGGAGGATTCCTCCATTAGCACAGATAATCTGGCCACAATCACGTCCACCGTACAATCCGAAGCAGTAGCAATAAGGATTTCCGCCAGCATCCTTGAGAAGCTGTCCTCCATTCTGGCAAGATGTGAGTGGTGCTGCTGGAGTGGTGGGAGCTGGGGCGATGGTAGTAGTTACTGGAGGCACTGAAAAAATTCAAATGAGAAAATCCGTAAAATAAGCAAAAAATTACTCACAGACACACTGGTAAGGTAAAATACGACGGAACAAGTATCCAGAATTAGTCATTCCTTCAACTTGCAAAAAGTTGTGTCCTTGATCGTTGTTGCTAGTTCTTCTGCAAGTGTATCTCTCCAAAATGTATGGGTAGGTACAGTTGAATCGGGTAGCAATTGGAATGTATCTCGTGATATGATTCTCGGCTCCAGTGAATCCAACGGCTTGGATTTGACCTGGGTACTCGAGTCCTTGGACATGAAGAGCGACGACTGACTCGGTATCAAAATAGGTGTACTTCAAAGTTGGGTAGTCACTGCGCTCCGCTTGATCTCCAGATGTGAATCCTCCGCTGAGTTTGATAAAAGTGCGAGCAGACATGAACATGGTGCAAAGTTGATCTCCAGTATCGGCTCTTGGTCCCAAAAGATATTGACCTGGAGCCAGACCTATGTATGTGGCGATGTAGGCGGTTGGAGTTTGACGATCGGAATCTGGGAACATCAAATCTCCATTCTCAGCTTGAAGGAAGAAAGTTGGGTTCAATGGTGATTCAGTCTCCAACTCAATCTTGATATCCCACATGGTCTCATCAACAACAATGACGTGAGATTCAGTGCAATTGGCGAGATTGATAGCGTCGATGGAGACATCATCTGATGACTGGTCGTTGGGCACATATGGGTTGCGGGCTTGGCAGAGTGCTGGAATTATTAGAGATTGCCATAAATATTTTGATTTGGCAACTCACGATATTGGCAAGTTTCTCCAGTGTATCCTGGCTTATTACATCCTCTTGTTGCTTGTCCAGCTAGCATTAGTGGTGGGACAATGGATCGTTTTGAAATGTGATGAGTGGTATCCAACTGGAATATGGTGACTCAGATGTCCATCAGTCTGAATATGTGGAACTTACAATGAGATCAGAGTCTTCATCAGCTCTGTAAGTCTGGTGTCTGATTGGTTCGAAGAAATGCTTGTCAACATTTGGACTCCATGACTTCAACGTCGCTTTTATTCTATCCTTATGACTCAGCTCCTGCTGAGCGGCCAGGCAGACCGCGGCTAACGCCGCAATCAACACCCAGGTTCGCATTTGCCTGTAATCCGTTAATAATCCTACTTAAACTAATCAAGAACACGAAAACAATATAGTATCAGTCGCTTCAGAAATAAAGCAGCACTCGACTGGCGCCACTAAGCGCATTATGCGTTATCAAGGAAAAATGAATGGGCATATCTATACTCGCCGACACAGTCGTCCTCAAATAATGAAATGGGTTGGGCGCGTCTCAACATCGTGGCATATATATTTCTTATCTTGTTCCTGCCATAGGGACATTAAAGTTTCTCTCGTCGTGCTCTCCAACTTTGCCATTATCTTGTTAGCTATGATAGGTACGCCTGTAAATTTTTATGGGACACAGTCAAAAACCAAGAGTGAAATTGGCTCGATTCTTTTGAAAAGAAATCACGTCAACATTCACGTCAAAAATTACCAGAAAAAAAGGGTGGGAAGAATCTACTGGACACAAAAAACTGGTCAGGATAAAGCAGCAAGAGGATGTAATCTCTAAATACGACATGGTTTTCATGTTTGTGGCGATAGGGCACGGTTATGCTTGAGAGTTTTTTTAGGGAGAAGGAAAACACCGAAATGAGCATTACTGTCAATTGCTAGAGATCCAACTTGCGGGGGTACTGGCAGAGCCAGTTATGATGTATGGAAAAAAGAAAAATGGTAAGTGGAATGAGTGCGAATTTCAAATTAATCTAGTTGCGGATACGTTTGATGAGCAAATAGGCATCTCTGGGACTAATACGGTAGTAGTCTTCAATTATTCCATCATTTACGAATCCATGTTTTTCATAGAACGACACAGCTTTCTCATTGTTCACCTGAAAACTTTTTCCTCGATATGATATCTTTCTACTCATGATTTTGTACCTGAACATGTAAGTACATCGTTTTCACTTCTTCCAATTTCTTGCACAATTTGAGCGCGTAGTTGATGAGAATCGTGCCAATTCCGCATCTGAAATAATATTTTTAATGGCATCGTTAAAATATAAAATTCGATGCGTAACCCAATTTTACACCCTTTTTCTCTGCCCTTCCCTTCCCAATATTCAAATCGTCATTGATACAATTTTTGGGGAAAAGGACAACGTCATTGATAAGGACTCTTATTTGAATTTTGACTCAAAACTCACTGTCGATACGCGGCCAGGGTTCCCAGTGTCATTAAGTACAGCGACTTCTCATCCGAGATATCATCGATACGACAGCAGACGGCCCCCACGACGACATCGTTGTAGTAAGCGAGGCGGCCAAGGTCTCCGCACGTACGCGCTTCGACGTAGAATTTGTCGTTGTAGGCGATGGGGAAAACGGCTTCGTTGAGCTTTTTGAGTTGCTGAAAAAAGAAAAAGGTGATGATAGAAGATAAACAAATGTTAATCAACTGGAACATCAAATCAGAATTTTTAAAGAGGACAAGTTGCTGAAGCTGGCTAGCACTACCTAACGTTGCCAAAGGAGACAAACTTTTCAAAATTTTGAAGATTTTTCAAATGCATCAGATATTCAAGTATAATCTATCAGATAGCTAATGAGAATAAACATAATTGTGACTATTATCCATATTTTTAGATAATTGGAGTGGTTATAGAATTTTTTGACTTCTTGTTTTCCATCTGCATCCTCATTCATTGTTAAATTAGAAAAAAAAACTGGCACCTAATAATCCTGTTAGCTTTACTCGTGTCGATTGGGTTTTATGTTGAAAAATTTAACAATTGATTACAAAAATGGCTCAAATGAGGGATCCAAACAAGCTCCAAATTGTCAGGTACCAGTTTTTTTCCATCTCGACGAAAAAAGAGAGAATTCAATTATCTTTTCCATTAATTTGGATTCATAAGTATCCAAAAAACTGTCTTCATTATTTTCCGCTTTACGTTTTTTTTTACGTATCCATGATTCAATTTCGGGTAGCCACACTGTAGTTTCTCGGCAGAATCCTTATTCGAAGTTTCTGATGCATTTTTTTGCATTTTTGCCTTCACCGTCTAGTCAATTCTTAATTGCCCAGACCGGTCATTGTGGTCTACCTGAAAATTCGATAACTCAAAAACACTCACCAGAATATTATGCGGCGTGATTTCTCCAAGATGTACCGGAATGTTTCCAGCGATCGTCCTCAACGGCTTACCATTCACATCGAACCTTTGAATCAGTGGCACAAGTTTATCAACGGCGTCATTGCTCTTCTCTGGCTTCTTCACTTCAGCTTTGTCCTTTTTCTTGTCCGTTCCTGGTTGTGTGACCTCGACTGGCCGTTCTGACTCTGTGTTTGTTTTTTCACTCTCTGATAGCTTTTTTTGCTTTTTGTTCGCTCTTTTCTTGGCACTTTTGCTCATTCCTGTTGCTTCGGGTTTAGAAGCGGTGTCATTTTGCGGTTTGTCCACAGCCTGGTCGCTCATTTTAATGTGGCTGAAAACAAAAAAAACAGGTGATTTAAAATAAGGAAAATGAGAAAAGCGAACTGAAAAAAACTGAAGATAGTAAAGGAAAACAAAACAAACACAATTGATTGACTTACATGAGACCGAGATAAATAAGAGACTAGCAGAAACAGAAAAGACAATGAGCATTGAATGTGAGATATCGGGGGAGAGGACACAGGTAATCTGCGCGCGCGCGAACACCCGAATTCAAATCGGCCTACTGCGCGTTGTTTAGCGGGTGCGGAGTGTCGTTCGAGGAGATGGGCAAAGCGAGAAAAGGAGAGAGATTGTGTAGCGAAGTAAACACACGTGCGGCGGCGCAGGTGACGGCCACCTCACTGCAGTCTCTTATAAATACTTTCTAAACATAACTTTTGCTAAGTGAAGTTTGTTTTTTTTTGCAGAAAAAAAGCTTAAAAATGAGACGAAAAACGTGATGAAAAATAACACAGATGTTATATTCAAAAGTCTGGGCTTATTGGGAAGAAAAAGGAAAACGTCACACAAATCCCATGGGTGAATTGGTATGAATCACGATTCGTCCAACAACCAAACACAACGAATCACCCGGAAAAAAGAATGAAGGGTGCGGTCAAACAGATATTTTTTCTCACGTCAGTTTCTACTTTTTACTAAATGAAAAAATAAAAAAAAATTTGTATTTTTCCTTTGGTTTTTAATGGCTACTAACCTAGAATTTCCAGTTTTCTAGCAAAAGAAAAAGTTCTCATAGAATGATTAGTAATATTTTCGCTCTTTAAAAGTTTACTAGAGATCATTGACGTTGGTCTTGGTATTTACACTAACTAGACATGAATCAAAAAAAATTCTTTCTTTTTTTCGTTTTTTCTGGCTGGCAAACATTCTAAAACATTTTCTGAAAAAAAAATTGAAAGTGAGCAAGCAAGCTCTGAGATAAAAAGTTCTTCCTAAAATTCGGGAATTGGTTATGAAGGACAACAGGCAGCACGGTGTGGGGAGAAGAAAATGAAACGAGCGGTGTCCAAGAATAACAAACTGGAGACACGGAAGAAGTGTGCCGCTCTTCTCGTGTATAAAGGCCACAAAGCCGAGGGCCGAGAGCAATGAGACGGGCTCACTCAGAGCTCGCTCGCCTCACACATTGGCAGCTGCTGTGTTTGGGGCTAGGTGAGAACTACAAAACATTCGGATGAGGAGGAATAAGATGGAATAAGATGACGAATGATGAATCTCTATCTAATTTATATTCCCACCAGCATTTCTCTCTTTCTGTCTCATCAAGATTCAGGAAGAAGAATACGCATACATTTGGGAAGTACGAATAGAAGGAAACAGCAAGTTTCCGAGTCGTTTTTCGTTTTTTATCAAATTTATCACCACATTAAAAAGGCCCACTTATGATAATGACACTGTGTAGTGGTGGCGGTTTTTCGCTGAAACAATTCCGAGAAACTGATCGATGACATGAAGAAGGAAAAAAAAGTTTTATTGCTGTTCAGTAACGAGAGGAGGAACGATAGGGGAATAAAACGGGGCGAGATTTTATTACATAGGTTTGACAGAAAAAAGCCTTGAAAAAAGAAAAATTGAAAAGCGTGAATAATGATAATAAAAAAGTAGTAGCATAAAAAAGGCAAATAGTGTGAATGAAACGGAGATGAGCATGTGAGAGTTGTGACCCCCCATCAGTGCTTATCACCAATTACAAGAGAATGAATTTCTGTACCCGCTCGAACTCGACAGTCACAACATGTAGAGGTTGTGATTACTGTAGGCACCCAACGGCCGTTGTCTCTCCGAAGGACGTCGACGTTGCGGTATTGTTGCACACATTCTCCCCAACCTTAATATTTTTGACTTTTCTTTCAAATTTTTGAGAAAAAACTGTTACCTGAGAGACAGTAATCATCAGGTTTACAACTGAGCTCATTGATAATTCTTGGAAAATAGTTTTCCGGAAGCTGCCTCCAAGTCCAACACGACCCTAAAACCAGTACGTATGTAGGTTTTTTTTGGAAAAGCCATAGTACCGGACAAATATATTTCTTTAATTTTTAAATCGAAATTAGTCAACTAAAAAGACTGAAAAAAATAGTTGAGAATTTTTCAATTTCTCTGAAATATCAAACAATAAAAATAAACTGAGCATAAAAAGCACATGTTTTGTGATTGACAACTTTGCTACCATATTCCGTTCCAAAGAAATGCCGCTTGTGACTGAAGAAATGCAAAAAATGGCAAAACCAGCACAAAAATGAGCATTTCGCCATTTCTAAACCTCTCATCTTGCTTTTGTTGGATTTGTAAACAAAAGTTTCTAATTACAAAAGTGTCAACCAAACTTTTTTCAGTGTACAATTTTCAGAAAAGTGGAAAAAGTCTGAACTACATTATTAGAACTTCCAGTTTTATTATCCTCCACTGATAATCTCAAAATATTATATTTTCTTGTCCACTACTATATAGAAATCATCATACCACATAATGCCAGCATATCATCTTCTGAGTCTCCTCGGTTCATGCAATTAATAGTAAACCGCTTCCCGATAATTGTCGGTGGCTCTGCACGTTTTTGACGGTCTGAAAAAAAGCAGTAAATCAACAGCAGCTGCATAACAATAATAATCTCACTCTTGAAACCTAATCCTCCCAAGATTCCGAATAGTGGATGATTGTTATTGTTCTCGCCTGATCCACCACCTCCCCAACCTCCATTAAATCCACCATTACCACCAAACCCGCCATTACCACCTGTCCATGGAAGTGGTTGAGGAACAGCTGGTGCTGGTGCGGGAGCTGGTTGAATGGGAGTTTGTGGCGATCCACCACCACCGCCATTTCCTTGTCCGTTTCCATTTCCGTTACCCCAACCACCTTGCCAACCGTTGCCAACAGCTGAAATTTTGGAAGAAGGAGTGATTTATGTGGCTCCGCAACGTTTCACAAATGCGACGTTTCGAAAGTAACAGCTTTGCGCTTTTTTTGCACAGAAAAAACGGAAAACTTTGTTTTCTAAGATTTAATCTAGTTTCTTGAGAAGTTCTGTGTCTTTTTAAGACTGCTTCCCACATTTACTTTCGAAACGTCTTACTTGTGAAACATCGCACTTGCAAAGTTTACTAGTCAAATGAATCAGAAAATTTAATATTTTAAAGTTTTTTAATTTCCAAAAATGAAACTACTGTGTTTTAATTTTTACGTTTTTTTTTTCCAAAGAATGAAAACTTTAGTATGATACAGGTTCAACAGAAATGTCAAACCAATGGGCGCATATATCACATTTTTCACAATCTTCGCAGTTTGAGACCACCCTCCAATTTTAGCAAAATTTTGAAATTTCAACAAATTTTTCGGTTTCTTTTGTTGAAAATAGTTTTATTCGTTCTTTGCAAGCTTATCGTTTGGTGAAAATTTTTTTTAGGACAAGAAAAAAATTACTAGAAACCCGGACCGAAAATGGGCTAGGCCAGACCTTAGAAATACACTAACGAAAATAGTAAAACTTACTGTTTTGAATTGGGTTTCTTATTGCTTCTCCAATTGCATGTCCTGCTGGTTCCCAGAATCTTCCTCAAATTGGTAGACTTTAAATGAAACATGCTACATTTCCCTTCTTACCATTCCAATGTTGTTGAACACCATTAAAACTCTGAAACGGTCTTGGATTCTGGAACTGTGGACGTGGCTGCTGGAACTGCTGTTGTTGTCCTTGCCAGGGTCTTTGAGGTTGTTGGAAATTCTGATTCGGACGTTGTTGTTGGAAATTGTTCTGGAAATTGTTTGCTCTTTGCTGCGAATTGAACCGGTTTCGCATTGCTTGGTTGTTCCGAAATTGCGTTCTTTCGTTTTGTTTTCGGTTGTTCTGTAGAACAAAAAGTAACTTTTGGGAATTTGGTTTTGGGTTACCTGATTAAAATTTCGTTGTCCTTGCATACTTTGTTGGTTTCTTGAATTTTGATTTTGGTTCTGATTCAGGTTTTGGTTTCTGTTAGGGTTACGATTACCCGGAAAGTTTCCATTATTGTTGTTGTTGTTATTGTTATTATTGTTATTGTTGTTTCGATTATTTTGAGGGATCTGTAACCAATTTGTGAAGTCAAAACTTGAAAAAATTGAGATCTTACTGGAGGAGATGCAGAAGGTGGAGATCCATGATTAGAGCGAGAACGTGTATTTGATTGTGGTGAAATTGAACTGCGGAATTGTTTTCCAGCATTGATTACACTTTGCATATAAGAGGGAACTATTGCGGGCGGAACAGGAGCAATCACTGGTTTAGGAAAGTTGTACCGTGGACATAAGCTAGGATTTAATTGTTGCTGAGGTAGTGGAGCAATGGAAGATCTGAAATTTTGGATTTTTTATTCGTTGTATATCCAAAGGTAACACCTGTAACTAGACAGGTATGAAACCAAGATCGCCCAGTTTGTAATAAAGCAGAGAGAAACATTGCTGACATTCCGAGCTGCGACAAGAGAATGTGTTGCTGTTCTGAAAATGAGAGATGACCCTGAGGTAAAATCTATCGGTTTGGTCCAAACTTACAATCAGAGGGGCAACACTACTACTGTGTTTCGAAAGATCAAGAAAAGATAAGATCGCCTCTTCGTAGTTGACAGCAACGTAGCGGGAATCATAAGAGATGCATTGTTGTGAGTCCGGGTGAATTACACAAGGGCGCTGAAAGTACGAGTTTTGCATGGTAGTGAAAATCTTAATTGAAAGATCGAGTCGGACATTCTCAGGTCTCGGGGCCTGGTAAGCTTGGATTCAAAAAAGTTGTAAAAAGTATTGTTAAACAATTCTTTGCAAATTTTCAAAACAAACATTTCTTTTATAAACTGTTTTATATTTCGAAAATCTTTTTGAAAAGACAAGTAAAACATTTCTGAAACCCCGGACCGGGTCGAGAAAGTTATGCAAAAGCCCAGCCCGGCAAGTATGGAAGAA